CAAAAAACACAATTAGCCTACTGGACCAAAAGCTGACAATATAGACCACTCCAACCAACAGCAGGAGAATACACATTCTTATCAAGTGCATATGAAGCATTTATCAAAACAGACCATACTGTGGGCCAAATAACACATACACATAAATTTAAAGAAATGAAGTCATAAATATCCTCAGATCAAAATGGAATTAAATTATAAATAAAAAATATAAACATCTCTAGAAAAATGCCAGAAGTTTAGAAAAGTAACCCACACACTTTTAAATAACCTATAGATCAAAGAAAAAACAAAAGGGAAATTAGAAAGTATTTTTAATTGAATGAAAATGAAGATGGTGTATGAAAATTTTTGGAATGTTGCTAAAACAGTACTTAGGGAAATTTATAGCACAAAATGCCTGTAGAAAAATAAGAGTTCTCAAATAAATGATTTTAGCTTCCACATTAAGAACATTTAAAATTTTTTTAAATGGTGCAAACTAAGCCTAAAACAAGCAGAAGGAAAGAAATAATAAAGATTAGAGCATAAACCAATTAAATAGAAAGCAGAAAAATAGAAAAAAAAAAACAATAAAGCCAAAAGCTGATCCTTGAGAAAATTAATAAAATTGATAAACCTCTAGCCAGAATGATTAGGAACAAAGAGAAAAGACATAAAACACCACTATCAAGAATGGGAAAGAGAAAGTCACCACAGATTCTACAAATTAAAAAGGTGAATAAGGAAATATTATGAACAATTTAATAGCAATAAATTCAACAACTTAGGTGAAATGGACATTTCCTTGAAGGATACAACCCATTAAAACTCAAAAAGAAACAGATAAACTAGAGTCTACATCAATTCAAAAACTTGAGTTTATAGTTTAAAAATTTTTGCCAAAAATAAAAAATAAAAACAGACCCAGATGCCTCACAAGTGAATTCTACCAATATTTAAGACATATTACCAATTGAACAAAAATCTTTCTTGTTGAACAAGAAGTAACCATCCACAGAATAGCATTATCTTTATAATAAAATGAGATAAAAATACAAGAAACAAAAGATATAGATAAAAATTATGGAAAAAAAAAACTTAGCCCACCACATCCAACAATATAAAAAAATAATAGTGCATCACAACCAAGGAGTTTATCCCAAGAATGTGAGATGGTGTAATACTTGAAACGTGAAAATCAATCAAAGTAATTCATACAAACAAAAAGAAGAAAAAATATTTATCTCAATAGACATAAAGAAAGAATTTGACAAAATCCAACATCTACTCTAAAACAGGAATAGAAAGGAACTTCAACCTGATAAAATCTTTGAAACTATAGCTAACTTAATACTTAATTTTTACTTTTCCCCTAAGTTCAGGAACAAGACAATTATCTTTGCTCTTTCTACCTCTATTCAACATTATACTGGAGGTTCTAGCTAGGGCAATTAGGCAAGAAAAAGCTATCCAGATTGGAAAGGGAAAGTTAAACTTTCTTTATTCATAGACAACATGATCATGCAGGAGTTCCTTTGTGAAGTCATTTACTTTTTATATGGATAAATGTGATGGAAAATTTTGCCAACATTTATAGGCATTACGTCAAAACCTTAGTTCAGATACAAGCTTTATAGATTCACAAAATTGTTTTATGGCTAAACCTAAACAGGTGTTCAACCAACTTAAAGTATTCAGAATTTAATCTGCAATAGAAAAGTAAAATCTGTGTATTTTGTATTCAAGAACTCATTATTCTATGCTGCTATCAAGAAACACTCTGAATTATTAACTTCAGTTCAATAGGGTTAACTAAAATTATTTTGGTTGTTCTCAGTTTACATGTTATAAATAATAATCAATAGACTAATGTTCAAATTAGTCCCAGTCAATTTAAGACAAATACTTGCTTTCTCAGCACAGAGCAAAACATGTTTAATACTTAAGATATATTACAAAAAAATTAATTAAAATGCTACATTCATGTTGCAAATTACTGTTATATTTTACATTAGACAACATAAACTAATGTTCCTTTGGATAAAAACTTTAATATTCAAAATTTAAAGTATTTTGTGTAATCCACACAGCAGGGGTCAGGAATTTGGAATTTAAGCATTAACCCAGCCTTCCTCCTGATCGACTGTAAGTGCTAAACCTCCAGTTGCAGTAACTGAGTTCTTAACTCCCAACCCATTCTCAAATCCAGAATTTAACCCTTGCTACAGGAATTATTTTCAGGCCTTGTTTCCCCCCAAAGCCTTGTGTCCCCTAAAGCCTCATCTTCTCTAACTGGAAGCTATATGTCAGACTTGGGTCTTAAGACCTCCTAATATCTATGGTTGCTAGAACCGCAGCCAGGGTATTCACTGTCAGTGCCCAGCAGTCCCTAGAAACCATTCCAGAGCTACCCTGGTCTGGCCTATACAGATGAACTAAGGTTCTGACATAAAGTCTGCAAATGTCAGAAATTTTGCTATCCTTATAGAGTAAATAACTTCACAATAGAAACCCTATTTCCACATTAAACACAAAAAGTAGTTTGATAACAGAAACAAAGTGTTCAAAAATATAATTTTATACTTTTTCACAAAACATGATAGTTTTGATTATAAAAAGATAAATTTACATATGTGTCAAGTATCGAACACAATCATATAAGAACTTATTTTAAAAATATGTATTCTATAGGTTATAAATGGACTTAATGGCAGCAATCAAATTTTTGAAAATAGGAAAATATTATCACTAATTCTCCTTTCAGAAGGAGAAATGTAAATAAATTCATGAGATTCAGCCAAATAATAACACTTCTTGGGACCAATTAAAACTACAATCTTCAGGGGCACCTGGGTGGCTCGGTCGTTAAGCATCTGCCTTCGGCTCGGGTCATGATCCCAGGGTCCTGGGATCGAGCCCCACATCGGGCTCCCTGCTTCGCGGGAAGCCTGCTTCTCCCTCTCCCACTCCCCCTGCTGTGTTCCCTCTCTAGCTGTGTCTCTCTCTGTCAAATAAATAAATAAAATCTTAAAAAAAAAAAAAAACTAGAATCTTCAAATTTTCTAGTTGCTTTCCTACTATTAATACAACACTAAATGGTATTTTATCTAGATTAAAAGTAATAAAAAAACAATAAAGAACAACTGTTATCTGTGAAAAATATTTGATAATATAAGCACTATGTACAAGGACTATTTAAAATTTTACTATGACATCAGAATTAGATTTCATTTATTAAGGCAAAATAAACTATCATTAAAAAATGGATATCAAAGACTAGGGAGTAAATATCTATTTCTTTTTTTTAACTAATCATTCTCCAACAGATACAGACCTAGAGTGAAATACTTAGCATACCTGAATTACAATACAGTTGGATTAAGTCATCACTTGCTCTGGGTGGATATTTTTAATATAGGGCACTAATTTGAGAATGCTACCCATGCATTAAGTAACAGACTTTATAAAATTAACTATTTTGACAGATTAAGTAGTAATGCTTAACATGCAAAACTACTTCTAAACTACTCTTGATTAAGCAAGGGATCTCTTGACATAAACTGAACTTTGAAAGAGGATAAGACTTGTAGTTCATAAATTAGAATATCAACTAGAAATGGGTAAGCTTCTTGAATGCCTTGGAAATACTGCTTGAATTTCAATAACTTAAAGACAGCAAATGCTCAGTAAATATTTCTAGATTATCTAAAGCTCTCTTTAAAATAATAAAGGAATTAAAATTAGATAAATGAAATTTGAAAATCTATGAAATAATCATACAGTGTTGGAACTTACATCCAATACTATCTGACTCCAAAGTATGTATATGTATGTATATGATCTTTACACAATGCCATTCTTTGGTTTTATCACTTAAATAATTTAAGATAATTGAATTACAAAAGTATTTTAAAAGATATGTTTATATTAATAAAGAGATCATGATCTCAAAATACTGGTTGAGGTCCATGAAAAATAAGCAGAAATAAGAAAACTTTAAACACAGCTTCATCTTCCCTAAAAAAGTAGTAGAAACACTGCAAAAAGCAGAAACATGAGGTAAATGTGTGAGGGGTGGGGACAGGAACAGAGGGAAACAAAGTGTTGGCAGGAAAATGGGGAGCAGAGAGAAAGCAAGAGAAAGGGGAAGGACAGAGAGAAGGAAAGGGAGGCAGGGAGACAAAGGAAAGAAGTAAGAAAGGGAAGGAGGAAGAAATGCATCCAAATCAGGATCTCTTTTAGTCTACTGGGATTAACAACAAAAACATAGTATTTTCATTGTGCAAGATATATTCAAATGTAGAGCTATTTATTTCATTTACCTCAGGAAAATAAGAATATATACACAACAAGTAAAAGACCAAGAGAAAATATGTTGAGAAAAAGAAGACAGAGCTGCTAATAAAGCTTATATTTAGACAGGAAGAATTTTTTTTTAAAACCTCCAACTTTTATAATTAAAAAAATTTAAATATGAAGACTGTTTACTCACATTTAAAAACTCATAACCATAAACACTTGTTTAAAATATAAATAATGTTTCTCTTTCTATTTACTTCCATTTATGAAAATGTTAGGACAATGTAGGCACATAAAATTAAGCTATGAAAGCAAAATAATGCTATAAAATAATCTTGTCTATTAGTGGCTTTTAAATACCACAGGTAAAAAGAAGACTAAAAAAGATATCTAAACAAACACAACCTTATTTTTCTTATTCAGTATTCAGTAATTAAATAATAAATCTGATGCTGGAGAGAAAATTTTAAACATTCTTTGCATTCTATTACCAGTGCTATGTAATTCCATGTAGTATGAACTACTCAAAAATATTTTACATCATTTTAAAAAAACAAAAAAATAAAAAGACTTATTAAATAATTTGACAATTATCCTATTTTGGCATATTTTGATATTTTTAAAATGTGAATTGGTCTAAGTGGAATCATTCTGCTACTCATAAAGACAACCTTCAAATGATGAGAATAAAAATCACTAAAATAAACAATTTTTCATACCTTTAGCTAAAGCTTCTTTATATTTCTCTTTGGCAGAATTCATTTCTTTTATTAACTGTCTATAGCTGGATTTTAATTTCTCTAATTCTGTCTTTGTAACCTGTCAAAAAAAAAATAAAGAACAAATTTTAAATTACTCCCTTAACCCCTGGCAACCACTGATCTTTCTACTGTCTCCATAGTTTGTGTTATCCAGAATATCATATAGTTAGAATCACATAGTATGTAACTTTTTAGATTGGCTTCTTTCACTTAGTAATATGCATGTAAGTTTCCTCTGGGTCTTTCTGTGGCTTGATAGCTCCTTTATTTGAGCATTAAATAATATTCCATATTCAATATTCTGTTGACCAGTCTGGGGCTTTTGCCTCTTCATATAAACTTTAGAATCAGTTTTTCAATATTCACAAAATAACTTACTGGGGACTTTGATTGGGATTGTGTTAAATGTAAAGAGCAAGCTGGGAACAACTGACATCTTGACAATATTGAGTCTTCTCATCGACAACCATGGGATATGTCTCCCAATTATTTCTTCTATGAATTCTCTCATTGGAATTCAGTTGTTCTCCTATAGATCTTGTATATATGTTGTTAGATTTATACCTAAGTATTTCATTGAGAGGTGCTAATGAAAACGGTATTGTGCTTTTAATTTCATATTCCACTTGCTTATTGTTGATGTATAGGAAAGTCACTGACTTTTGTATGGTAACATTGTATCCTGTAACCTTGCTATAATCACTTACTAATTCCAAGTTTTTTTGTTGATTTTCTTGGATTTTCTACATAGACAGTCATGTCATCTGTGAACAAAGACAGATTTATTTCATTGTTCCCAGTCTGTATATATTTCTTTTTCTTGTCTTATTGCATTGGCTAAGGCTTCCAGCATGATGTTAACAAGCAACAGTAAGAGGAAACATCCTTGACTTGCTTCTGATCTTAGTGGGAAAGTTTCAAGTTTCTTACCATTACTTATATGTTAGCTGTACCTTTTCTGTAGATATTCTTTATCAAGTTGAGGAAGGTTTCCTCTTTTCCTAGATTACTGAGAGTTTTTATCATGAATGTGTACTGGTTTTGTAAAATTTTGTCAAGTGATTTTTCTGCATGTCAAGTGATTTTTCTGCATCTATTTGCATGCTTATGTGATTTTTCTTTTTTAATCTGTTCATGTGATGGACTGCATTAATTGATTTTCAAATGTTGTACCAGCGGATTTTTGTATCTATGCTCATGAGAGATACTGTAGTTTTCTTTTCTTCTAATATCTTTGCCTGGTTTGGTAATGGTGGTCTCTTGGATTAGTTAGAAAGTATCCCTCAGTTTCTTTTTCTGAAAGAGTTCATAGAGAATTGGTATGATTCCTTCCTTAAAAGTTTGATAAAATTCACTATCTGAGCCTGGTGCTTTCTGTTTTGGAAGGTTATTAGTTATTGATTCAATGACTTTAATAGATATATGCCTATTCAGATCGTCTATCTCTTCTTGTGTGAGTTTTTAGCAGACTGTGTCTTCCATAGAATTGCCAAATTTCTTGTATGAAATCAAATTTGTGGGCATAGAGTTGTTCACAGTATTCCTTCATTACCCTTTTAATATGGACTATGTAGTTGATGTCCCCTCTTTCACTCCTGATATTAGTAATTTGTGCCCACATTGTTTTTATTAGTTAACCTGGCTACAAACTTAATGATTTTATTGATCTTTTCAAAGAACCAGCTTTTGGTTTTGTTGATTTTCCTATTGGTTTTATGTTTTCACTTTAACTAATTCCACTCTAATTTGTATCATTTTGTTTCTTCTGCTTACTTTGGATTCAATTTGCTCTTTCTTTTTTTTCTAATGCCCTAAGGTAGAAGTTTAGAGGATTGATTTTAGATCTTTTTTCTTTCCTAACATACATTCATGCTATAAATTTTCATCTAAGCACTGCTTTTGCAACCTACAAATTTTGATGGGTTTTATTTTCATTTTCATTTAGTTCAAAATATTTTTTAATTTCTCTTGAGATTTCTTCTTTGATCCATGAGCCATTTAGAAGTATTTTGTTTAATCTTTTCCAAAGAAGACATCTAGATGGCCAACAGACATATGAAAAGATGCTCAACATCACTCATCATCAGGGAAATGAAAACCGAAACTACAATGAGATATCACCTCCACCAGTCACAATCGCTAAAATTAACAGGAAACAACAGGTGCTGGCGAGGATGCAGAGAAAGAGGAACCCTCTTACACTGTTGGTTGGAATGCAAATTGCTGCCGCTACTCTGGAAAACAGTATGGAGGTTTCTCAAACAGTTGAAAACAGAAGTACACTATGATCCCGCTATCTTTCTATTACTAATTTCTAGTTTAATTCCACTGTGGTCTCAGAGCAGATACTGGATGATTTTTATTCTTCTAAATTTATTAAGGTATGATTTATGGTCTAGAATGTGGTCTATCTGTTGAATCTTCCATGTAAGCTTCAGAAGAATATGATTCTGCTGTTATTCAATGAAACAGTCTGTAAATGTTCACTGTATCTAATTGATTAATGGTACTATTAAGTTCACCTATGTCCTTACTGATTTTCTGCCTGCTGGGTTTGTTCATTTCTGATGGGGGGATGTTAAGTCTCCAACTGTAATGGAGTATTCATCTATTTCTTCTTGCAATTCTATCAGTTTTTACAGCTCCTTCAGTATTTTAACATTATGTTGTTGGGCATATACAAGTTAAGGATTGTTATGTCTTCTTGGAGAACTAACCCCTTTATCATTATGTAATTCCCCTCTTTATCCCCAATAAGTTTCCTTGCTTTGAAGACTGCTCTGTCTGAAATTAATATAGCCACTCCTACTTTCCTTTGATTAGGGTTAGTATAACATATCTTTCTCCATCCATTTACTATCAATCTATATGTGTCTTAATATTTAAAATGGGTTTCTTGTAGATAAAATATAGTTGGGTCTTGTTTGTAAATCTACTCTGACAATCTCTGTCCTTTAATTGGCTCATTTAGACCACTGACTTTCAAATAACTTATCTAAATACCTGGGTTAATGGCAATCATATTTGTTAGTTTCCTATTTGTTACCTTTGTTATTTGTTCCTATTTTTGTCTTCCACTATTCTTCTATGGTTTTGATATTTTATACAATTCCATTCTCTCTCATTTCTTATATATCAGTTATTATTTCTTTTTTAACTTTTTTTAGTAGGTGCCCTGGAGTTCGCAATATGTATTTATAACTAATGCAAGCCTATTTTCAAAGAACACTATACCACTTCACAGGTAGTATGAGTACCTTACAATAACAATATAATCCTAATACCTCCTTTCTATCCCGTATATCATTGCTGTCATTCATTTCACTTATATATAAGCATACATAAACTTATATATGTATGTATACACACATACACACCCAAGATACATGACTGTACATAACTGAATTTTATTGTTGCTATTATTATTTTCAATAAACTGTTACCCGTTAGATCAAGAATGAGAAAAATAAGTTTTTATTTTATCTTCACATTCTTTCCCTAATGGTCTTTTATTTTTTTAAGATTTTATTTATTCACTTGTCAGAGAGAGAGAAAGCACAAGAAGGGGGAGCAGCAGGCAAAGGGAGAGGGAGAAGCAGGCTCCCCACTGAGCAGGAAGCCCAATGTGGGGCTTGATCCCAGGACCCTGGGATCATGACCTGAGCCAAAGGCAGCTGCTTAACTGACTGAGCCACCCAGGCGCCCCTCCCTAATGCTCTTTCTTCCTTTACGTAGATCTGAGTTTCTGACCTATATCATTTTCCTTCTCAATCCACTGGCTACAAGTTTCCTCAATTTCTGTTTGTCTAAGAAAGTCTTTATTTCACTTTTGAAGGATAATTTCACAAGGTATAGAATTCTAGGATTGTGGGTTTTTTCTCTCAACACTTAAATATTTCATTCGACTTCCTTCTTGCTTACTTAATTCTGAGGAGAAGTCAGATGTAATTCTTATATTTGTTCTTCTATAGGTAAGGTGCTTTTTTACTCAGGCTTCTTTCAGGATTTTTTCTTTATTTTTGATTATCTGTAGTGTGAAACTGATATGCTGAAGGGTAGTTTTTTGGTCATTTATTCTGTTTGATGTTCTCTGAACTTCCTGGATCTGCTGTTTGGTGTCTGCCATTAACTTAGGGAAATTCACAGTCATTATCATTTCAAATATCTCTTCTGTTCCTTTCTCTCTTTCTTCTCCTTCAGGTATTCCCATTATACATATGTTACACCTTTTGTAGTTACCCCACAGTTCTTGGTTAATTCTGTCCCTTTTTTTTTTTCAGTCCTTATTCTCTGCTTTTCAAGTTTTGTAAATTTCTATTGATATATTCTCAATTTCAGAGATTCTTTCTTTAATTGTGCCCATTCTCTTATTAAGCCCATCAAAGTCATTCTTCACTTCTGTTACAGTATTTTTGCTCTCTAGAATGCTAGAATGCCTTTTGTTTCTTTCTTAGGATTTCCATCTTTATGCTTACATTACCCACTGTTCTTTCATGCTTTTTACTTTACCCATTGGAGCCCTTAGCATATTATACATAGTTGTTATAAATTCCTGGTCTGATAATTCCAACACCCCTACTGTGTCTGGGTCTGATGCTTGTTCTGTCTCTTCCAACTGTGTATTTTTGCCTTTTGCTATCCCTTATTATTTTTTTCTTGATTGCTAGGCAGGATGTACCAGGTAAAAGAAACTGATTAAATAGGCCTCTACTAATGTGGTGATAAGCTGTCAGAAAAGGGGAAGCATTTTATACCCTATGTTTAGGTCTCAGTCTTTTATTAAATCTGTGCCTCTGGCTATGAACTTCACATGTGCTATTCAGCTGAGTATCCCACTCCCCACTCAGAGAAAGCAGGAGTTATGAATTTTCCTTCCCCCAGATTACTTAGGTTAAGGATAAACAGTTTCTCCTGAGAGCACACTTTATTAAGGACAGAATGCTTTGGCATATATCAAAATGGTTCCTTTTCCCCTCCCCCTGCTGGAGCATTAGATTTTTTTCCAATATTCACTGTGAGAACCTGGTAGAGGTCTGGGAGGTAAAACTCACAAAAGTGCGGAGGCCCCTCAATAAGTGGCTCCTCCTGGAGTTTTTAACAGTCAAAATTGTCCACACTGAGCATCCAGAACTTGTCAGTTACAGTTCAGGTGTTCCTATACACAGTACTGCTTCCCAAAGAGGTTTTTGCTCTGGTAAATTGTGATTCTCTGTATTCACTTGTATGTCTCTCCAATTTTAGGGGGAGCCGATGGCTCTGTCACCTCACTTCTCTTAAGGATCTAAGAAGAGCTGTTGATTTTTCAATGTATTCAAATTTTAACTCTTTGTTAGGATGGTGTGACAACATCCAAACTTCTTACATGCCAGACTGGAAACTGGAAGTCTTAACTTTTGAAGTTGTTAAAGAACCAATTCATTGTTCTCCAAACTGGTTAATTAATTGTAAAAAGCAAGCATTTATCCTGTTTGTTGTTTATGAACTATACCTCAGGGTAGCCAAATAGTTGATGTAAGAAAACTTTTTATTGAAAAATTACAGTTAACAATCACATTAGGAATGATAGAAGTAAAATGCTGCCATTTTATAACCCCTACTAAAATAATGGATCTAAGCAACAAACATCAATTGTTTCTAAAACTATTGGTGAATGGCTGAAGGGAAACTTTATCAATAGGTTGATCAGTCTGGCAGCACTAGAACCTATTAGTCAAGTTTAACAGCACAAAAGATAAACAAGAAGACATCAGATAGCTCAGATATGAAAAAAATAGGAAGTCTATACCAGTACCTATGATATATTTTTGCCCCCCAAAAACAGCAAGAATTTTATCAAGCAGTTTACAGGAAAATTAAAGGATAAAGGAATATGTGAAATCACATCAAAAGATGCTAACAATAAAATCAAAAATTAAAGAAATTCAATTCCATAGAGTAAATTACCCAGTTTCTTCCACAAATAAATGGCATTTTAAAAAGGTTGGGGGGAGGTACCTACAGATTAAAAGAAAATTATTCAAATATAATGTGTGAGCCATGTTTGGGTCATGATTCAAATGAACCAACTGTAAAAAACATTTAAACAACAGTCATTTGAGCACAATCAGGATATTTAATAACCCTAAGGAATTACTGTTATTTTTAGGTGGGTTAATGATAATATGGTTAAGTTTTTTCAAAAGAGTATTTATTTCAGCAATATATACTAAAATATTTATGGATAAAATGATACCTGGAATTTTCTTTAAAATGATCCAGTGTATTAGAAAAGGTAGGTGAGTATAGATTAAAAAAAAAAAAAAAAAAACCTTGACTATGCGGGTGGATCAGTCAATAGGAGTTTGTTTTATTATTCTCTCTTCTTTTGTACATTTGAAATTTTCATAATGAAAAACATTGTAAAAAGTTATCCAGAAGGGACAAACTCTCACTGTAAAGAAAATTTAAAAATATCTTCATTTACTTTGTCTATATTTTTTTATATGCATACTAAAAATAAAAATAATAAAACCTAAAAGAGCTATTTCAGTAAGTAAAAAATAAAAATTCTAAGTGATAAGAAAGCACTGTATCATAGTTTGATTGGCAGCATTCTTTTTCTTTCAGAGAAGTACATAAAGTAACAGTACATCTTATAATCAATTGTGTTTTATATTCAATAAGAATAAAATATTACTTACTAGAGACACCAAAACCTATTTCTCATTATAAAATGATGAATAATTTTTAAAGTCAAACAAGATAAAATATTTCAGTGAATTTAAAAATCACATTAACAAAAGAATTCCAGAGTAGAAAGACTGACCTTGATCATCTCTGCTTCTATCTGCTGATGAACACCTATAAAACTCTTCTTCACCTGCTGCTTGTCTTTGATCATCATAGTGAGCCTGTGTAAGGGTCCAGAATTTAGGTCCTCTGCATGTGTCTTCATTATTCTACTAAGCTGTTCCGTCTGCTGAATCATAAGTAGCCAAGACTATTTAAAAAATAAAGAAATAAAATTAGCATCTGTATTAAAGGTTTCCATTTTACTGTGCTTTAAGTATTCAGGAACATTAAGTATTTAGTTTTATACAAATTATGACATTAATATAAAAATGCCAAGTTTCTGGCAATTGTACAATGAGCTATGAGTGGTTCAAATTTAATATCTTCAAGTCAAATACTTCAAAATTTAGTAATCAGAGATTATGCAGTATTCTATGAAAGGGATTAAGCTCTTTGAGAGTCCACACTTGCAGTCATCATTTTACCACTTCTTGTCTGTATGTGAATACATTGATATAATGCTTCTGCCTACACCATGCTACTGCCTCAGTAAGGTCACCATTTCCTAATGGTCAAAATGCAACAGAAATGTAACCATCTTTATTCTTAGCATTTGATCTGATCCTGCTGACTCACTTCTTCCTAAAACTCTTCTTTTTTGGTTTGCATGGCTTCTCATATTCCAACATACCAATTTGTCTTCTCCTCTTCCTAAAAATCCCTTCTCAATCTTTGTACCTGCTTCTCTTTGCTGCTTATGTCTTAAATACTGGTAGTCTCTGGATTCCTATCTATTCTCATTTCTTAGTAAATACCATTAGCTCTCAATGGTTTTTCCAGCATAACACATTTCTTTAAAGCAGAAACATGTAATGGTGGGTTTGGGAACAAGTGGGCATATGGATACTGCTGGAAGAACAAGTCATTTGTTATTAGACATTCTAGTTTCTAGATACTAAAAAAAGTAACTGAGGAATACTCTTCACTATAGGTCTTCAAAATTCTACTCAGAAACAACTGTTGGAGATTTATCATGGTCAAGTAAGATCCATGTTTAAGATTAAAAAATAGACAAGGTATGATTTCAGATATTTACTGAAGATTGGAATAATTTTTTATGCTATTACTTTTGATCTATGAATGAACAGAATTATTCTTCATTGTTAATGTTCCAATATAATCCTAAATTAGAACTGAATAAGCACCTAAACCAAAATAATAGCATAAAAGAAGCAAATTCTTAGTCATAGTCAGAAGTCACCAGGGTCTAACTTGATAATCTGGTTTCTGATACACTGTAACATACATTTTTTTTAAAGTTAACCTTCCAGGACATTTGTTTAGGGAGAAAGGCCATTTGTAGCTGTGAAATGCTATTATGAACACTGAATAAAATGTGGCCTATGAATTCATCATATTTACTTTCAAATTCAAAAATCTAACTACTAATATGCTCTAGATATCACAAAGCAATTTAAAACTGATGTATCTCTTTCATTAAAATATAAAATTTAGGGTCACCTGGGTGGCTCAGTCATTAAGCATCTGCCTTAGGCTCAGGTCATGATCCCCAGGTCCTGGAATGGAGCCCCCACATCAGGCTCCCTGCTCAGCTGGGAGCCTGCTTCTCCCTCCCCCTGTGCCCCCCCCACCCCACTCATGTTCTCTCTCTCAAATAAATAAAATCTTCTAAAAATGAATTAATTAAAATATAAAATTTAACCAAGATGAAAACAGTGAAAAACAAAACTATACAACATGGATTAAAAACAAACTAAATGTCCTAATAATTCTTATAGTTTTGTCTTTTTCATTTTATATTTTATATATATTTATATATCCCTCTAAAAAACACAACACTGGGAAAACATTCTATAGCAAGAAAAGTGTAATTGTGTCCATTTCCTAACTTTTCAAATAGAAGAGTCAATAGACAACTTTATTTCTAAAGTTTGTAAATAAAGAAATATAGAATTAAGTATAAAATTCTTAAGTTTCAAAACTTAAACAGTTAAGTGAATGTTTAGAAAAAAACATATAATACAGACCTTCTAAATTATCAAAAGTAATTTTTGAGAAAAGTTAACACTGTCCATTAAAAAAAAAGGAAAACAAAAGAAAAAAATTACTAACAATTAAAAATAAGTTGCAGAATAAAAATTATACTAAACACATCTGTTAAACATCTATGAAAAGGAAAACATGGGGCGCCTGGGTGGCTCAGTCGTTAAGCATCTGCCTTTGGCTCAGGTCATGATCCCAGGGTCCTGGGATCGAGGCCCGCATCGGGCTCCCTGCTCCGCGGGAGGCCTGCTTCTCCCTCTCCCACTCCCCCTGCTTGTGTTCCCTCTCTCGCTATGTCTCTCTCTGTCAAATAAATAAATAAATAAAATCTTTAAAAAAAAAAAAAAAAGGAAAACATTATCAAATCAGAGGTGGGAAATTTCACTATAGGCAATAAATAAGTAACATCAGTAAAATAAAATAACATACAACAAAAAGACAAGTAAAAATCCCCCAGAAAAATGTGAACAATAAGATTCAGTAGTCATTATGTTCAAATGATTTAAAATTGAATTCTAGACGCAAAATACAAAACAAATAAGGGCACATTATGACGTAAAAGAATATCATTACAATGAGTATATAACTACCATGAATCTTTTCATTCCAGAAAATAGTACATCAAAACACACAAAGCAAAACAGTGGAAAATGAAATGAGAAAGCAAAAGTAGTTGGGAGAATTAAATCATCTCTACCTGTGGCAAATAAATTTAAAAAATAAGTAATACAGAATATCTGATTAAGTAATTTAATAATGAATATGTTTTATTTGTTGTTATATATAAAAATCTATATACTATAGGTATAGGAAATTCCTATTTTTAAAGAATCTATGGAATATTTTTAAAATTAAGGTAATACTAGGCTACAAAAAATTTTATAAATTTCCTCAAAAACAGAAAATAGTTCATACTAACTATACTGTCTAGTTTGCCTCTTACAAGGAAAAAATTAAGGAAAAAAATAATAGACAGAACTTTTTAAGAAAAAAGTTAAATCATGCCTAAAAATAGCATAGGCTAAACAGTAACATTTTTAAAACTAATCTAAGACTTAGAAAATAACAGTAAGTAATATACTATCAAAATCTATGATATAGAGCTCAATTTGCTGCAAGATTCACAGTCTTTACACTTCCATTTCTAAGTAAGAAAAAATAAAAATAAATTTATTAAACATTCAATTTTAGAAGCTGGGAAAGGAAGAACAATGTAAAATCTAAGGAAACTACAAAGAGGGAATTGAAAAAAAAAGTATTTATTAATTAGTCAAAAATAAAAACAATTAGAGAAAAAAAATGTTAATAACATTAAAAGGGAGAGCTGACAATAATGGGAAAAAGGAAAATAAAGTATCTAAAATTAAGTCTAAGAAATGAGAAACACCAAAGATTAAGACAAAATTCTAAAATTTTTGAGAAAAAAATGTTTTTCTCCTATCTGTCTTTCGTTAGTTTATTTTTTAAATAGTTGTTATGTTTAATTGACATATAGTTGACATATAAGTTTCAGATATATAACATAGATATATAATACATTAAGACATGCTCCCACAAGTGTAGTTTCCATCTGTCACCATACAAGGTTATCAGTTACATTACTGACTATATTCCCTATGCTGTATTTTAAATCCCCATGACTTATATATTTTATAACTAGAAGTTTGTACCTCTTAATTTCCTTCACGTATTTTGCCCATCCTCCCTACCCCAAAACTTTTAAACATATTTCTCTAAACCAAATCCTCTCTATTGAAAGAAAGAAATGAAGAAAAGAAATAAAGCAACCTACCTGGTGTAGGTTCTATTTCCCTAACTGAATCCTCACATTAACAGACAGCAAATTACCAATAACCATGAACTACATGATTATCATGAACCAATTATCAAAATATCTCTAGTAAGATACAAAGCTCAAAATGTTTTGCTAATGAATAATTCCAAACATTTATGCATTAAATACCTTTGATACTACCTAAAATGTTTCTAAGAAATGACAATGAAAAAAGTTCCTAAAATCACCATAACACAGACATCAAAAAGTGGCAAAGATACTACAAAAATAAATTCTCTTATAAATGCCAATGCAAAATCTTAAACAAAATATTAATAGGACAAAACAGTCCATTGAAAGAAAAATATCTCATAGCCAGTTTTGGGACATTTCAAAAATGCATACCTAATAGTCATATATAGAAGTATTCCCATAAGAGTCAAAGACAAATAAGGCCACTTAATGTCAACAATGTTATTTAATATTGTTTCCAAAATGCCTCTAACTGAGAGATTCTGAGTAAAAATATTTTAATAATAAAAAAACACAAATTGGGCGCCTGGGTGGCTCAGTTGGTTAAGCGACTGCCTTCGGCTCAGGTCATGATCCTGGAGTCCCGGGATCGAGTCCCGCATCGGGCTCCCTG